ACAACAAACCTGCACCTTAAGCTGAAGTTGAAGCTGCTTGAGGTAATCAATGGGTTCATCAATCATCAAAGCCTTGTTCATCTATAAAAAAGGAAACATCAAAGTTTTGTTTAACTTTGATAATCAAAACTCTTAATAAATCAAAATAATCAAGCTTAAATTGCACCAGATAGACTAAATTCATTTATCTGCACATCATTTTAAAAACAATTTCTCCATCACAACCTTGAATGTAATTGTATCAATCCAAATCCGTAGCTTTCAACTGGGAGAATGTACAACAAGCTAGCATTTACAAAAACAGTTAAATTTAGTACACGATAGAAATTATAAAATTATAAAGTTGAAAATCTAAAATAAACTATAAAAAATAAATTTAGTTACCTTATTCAAATAACCCCATCGAAAAAGATGGATTGCATTTAGTCTTTTTAACTCTTGCACTGCTTCATCTCAATTCTATAGATGAAATAACATAAACAAAACGTTAGATCAATAAAATAACATTGTTAAAATGTTAACAATGTAATACCACTTGGCACAAAGTACTTACCTTTTCCTTGTCAAAAGAGGTTGATATTCCTTTTCCTTTACACTTTGCAGTTACGACTGTTCTTTCTTTTGCCTTTTAGATAGTAAACATAGATAAGTGAAATCATTAAATAAAAAAAAAGAAGTCTAATCTATAAACAAATTGATGTGTCATGACACTACCTCAGAAATGAGAATGCAATTGAGTTCGCGTTCGTCGCGAATGACAACACTAACATTATTTTTCTTGAGCAATTGAACTTATACATGAAAATGCATTTAACAGGTAAATGAACACAAACTATATGAGATAAAATTATTAAGAATATGAGTGATATGAAACTCATCTTACGGTTTGCTCTAAGTCTTCATCAATCTGTAAAAAGATGCGTGAAAATAAAGTGAAATAAATATGTGAATATTTTTCGGTGCCGAAAAAAAAATAAAAAAATAGAAGATGTTTAAACTCACACGACCAAAAATGGTGAGATCTTTCATTTTTCAATATTGAGAGTTTGCAGTGATGGTTAGTATACTATGATGGCTGCAAATATAAGAAACAGAATAAATCAAAAAATTAAAAATATTCGCTAAATACACATATTCCTACTAATTGACATACAAGTACAATCTCTATAATTAATCCAAACCCTATAAAGTTGTGTGGAAAGCCTTAGGTGTGCCTGAGGATAACTGGGGCAGTTTGGATATCACATGGACTGATGCTTAGTTTGAACTACATTTTCTTGTTTAGCTTATGGTGGCTTGAAACACATTTATCTGTAGTATTGTCATTTACATCAACTAAAGATAGGCAAAGGTAGGGTTGGTAACATTCTAATTTTCAGAAAATTTTAATGAATCAGAAAATTTCCAACTCCTGCATGCAGTCTAATTTTCTTTGTCTCAAAAAAATTACCTTGCATAGCATTGCCTAAAATTGAATTCTGATTCATTAAGAATGTTCTTTTGTGCAACTGATTTGTTCTTAGCAGCTCTCTATGAAAGGGTTTATGGGATGTGGAGTGTATTTTTGTAACATGAATTCCAACTTTGTGGGTGATCACGTTCACATCAACAATGAGCAAAACTAATATATTAGACATGAAAAAATTTTCTCTGCAGTATTTCCATTTATATCAACTAAAGATGGGCAAAGGCCTCCTGCATGCAGTTCTAATTTTCTTTTTCTCGATAAAATTACCTTGTGTATGATTGCCTAACATTGAAGTATGATCCATTAAGAATGTTCTTCTGTGCAACTTATTTGTTCTTTGCAGCTCTCTGTGAAAGGGTGTACTATTTGAAGATTCTCGTGAAGACAAATTTCAAAAAAGAGATAGAGAAAACACAACTTTAATAAAATTCATATACTTGAAATTATATACCTAATTAGAAATGTGAAAACTTGAAGGTCTTATATCCCTAGACACACATTAACCCGTGCCTAAAGGCATTGTCTAATTCAACAGAAGTTTTAATTATTAGATTTACTAAGCTCTACTCTAGATTAATTTGAAAGGCTTTACATAACACAAAGAATCATACATTCGGGAAAAAAAATAGTGTGATATATATAGGCATGCATTTTAAATTGCTTCCACCTAAAACATGCCAAACTTCGTACATCCATGAAGCATGCATTTTAAAACTAAATGCATCTGACTAACAGCTCTTGGTAGTCCCATTGAAAAAATGTCCATGTTTTTTGTTAAGTAAGAAAAGCTTTATTCCACCGTCAAAGTAAACCTATCAAACAAACTCGAGTCAAAGTACACTAATTAATCTTATTAACTTTAAAAATCGAGCAAAAAAATCAAGCACAAACATATATTTGCTTATGATTTTAAAAAGAATGCTTCATGGGTGACTATTTTTAACAAAAATCATAAGCACAACATTTTTGGAACTTAATATTTTCAACCGGACACACATATGCACAGACATTAGCATTCCTTAGTTCCTCACCATCCTCTCACCCTATGTTGTGTGCTCATGTATTTGTGTTTGGGTGAGGTTTGTGTGTGTGTTTGCTAGTGTTTGCGAGGGAGAGTGAGAGAGAGAGATAGAGAGAGAGTGAAAGAGGGTGTGTACCTGGAAAATTAATATACCACCAAATGAGTATGGTTCTTGACCACTGAATTGTGGGCACTGATCTGGTAATATCCACAGTAGTGTTGGAATGATAACTGATTTTAGAGTAAGGATACTACAAAAAGTGATTAAAGTAATCAAAATATCCCATGGAAGATTAGAATTTATCTGCCCTTGGAATAAATTAAAATTTTGTGAAAAATAATAATTAAAACTTCGTCTAATTATTTGGATTCAAAAGATACGCAACAAATAAGCTCCAAATGTTTGTCTACCAAATAATCAAAAAAACCGAGTCTGAAGGCATGGTCCAATATAAAAATCGAACAACCTAAAAAATCGCGACAAAACACTTTTTTAAAAAAGGTGCAATAGAACTCTAATTATGCAATAAAACTTAAAAAAGTAGACAAAAAAATATAATTAAACCCAAATAGGTAAAGAGCTGAAAGAATCAAAAGAGGTAACCACAACTTTTCTCAAATACGATTCGACTACTAAAGCGCTGTTGGAATACGATCAAACATGCTCACTACCAAAGCTCAGTATTTTGCCATGCTAGAGTATTTCGATATTCAAACACTAATTTGTTTCAAATTATTTGGAACAGAAAATTCAGTTCCATTAAAGTCACAAAATTAAGAAGGGCCAAAGATATACCAAAAGTAAGAAAACTCACCTCTATGATCAAGCAGAAATTTCAATTAATATTGATTTTATTCTCTAGGTTTCTTGGTTATATAACCCAATGCATGCAGCTGTGTCACAAAAAAAAAAAACAATATTATCCTCTTAAAAAGGGCAACAATTATTGTCAATGCTGATTTTGTTCCTTTAAGAAGCAAGGATCAAAGTACTGTAAAAAACTTACCCGAAAAAGTACTGTAAAACCTGAAAATAAGTTAACCAGAAGAAAAAGAAATTAAGAATCAAGGATCAAAGTACTATAAAAACCAAATAAGTAACTTCCAGCATGGCAACAAACAAAAAAAGGTTAACCCATACCACAATAGAGTATTTTGCCAAAACATTCTTAGCATTATGAAAATGCACCAACTGAAGGTATAAAAAACTTAAAATACAAATGCACTGCACTTAGAATATGAGTTTAACTACAAACCCACGATTTTATTTTTCAATAGAAATTCCTACGTTTCAAATTAGTTTTGGGTTTCACTACAACATGTATCATGCAAAATTCAATCCAAACAATGTAAATCCAAAAAGTAACCAAGTTTATTAGAACATCAAATTCATATACACAGGACAACTTACCAAGTGAATAACAATGATGCTAACATGGCCAACTTCTACACTCTTAATGGTTACCAACAAGACTTTGCACAGGACATCTCCTGGACCTTAGTTGTTTGCAATTTCTCATCCAAATTGTACCAAGATTTGTCAACGCCCCAACTAAGATAAACGATAAAACCCACAAATAGATCTAAACAATGAGCCACCAATTCTAAGTTAATAAACAATAGATTCCAAATCCAAAAGCAAGAATTGAGAATTTGAGTACAATAACACAAAAAATGATAATCACAAATCAGGTTAAGGTAAAAGAAATTCCATTATTGTCCCATGTGATTTCACCAAAGCAAATCTTCATGTGACATAATAATTTTTTTACAACTTTTTGACTTAATTTCTCCAAAAGAAGACCCTCACAAATAATATCAACCTATGTATATGGTTTGTGTAATGATATCCCAAACAAACTATTGGACTCACTATCGTGTCATAGTTATATGTTAATACAATCATTTACCAACTAATGCAACATGTCCAAAATGTCATAACTCAACTATCAACCTAAGTAGTCATTTAATTTTATATTCCTATCACATTGCATAAGAAAGACACAAATTCACCAATACAGAAATCTTGTCGACATCCATTTAAATTTTACCCAAATACGTTAATTTTTTTTTTTTAAAAAAGCAAGCTATCAAGAACATTTAACCTGCAAGGTTATTAAATCTCATAGGAATAAGAAAGCAAAAACCAAGATGTCTTAAACAATTTCAATGTTGACAATATTACTCATCTAACAATTTCAATTGTGCAAACTAAGATGTCTTAACCACAAAAGAGTCTCTTCCTCAATATTCTCCAAACTATAACAATTGTGTTCCTTACAATTTATATGACCCTGCAAGGCTGCAATCATAAAGAAACAAAACTTTAAAGAACAAATTTTTTTTTAAAAATTGAGAACTTGATCATTGAGGCATTGTAACAAAATTTAAAACATTTAGAGTACTTTGACAGAGGAAGTGTGGTATTTCTTTCATTTTTTTATTTCAATTTGCCACAATGTTTCTTTACTGTTAATCTACCCACATATGATTCAAATATGACTGACTCATTTGTGTATAATATTTTCTCAACCACCGATGAGGCTGAGCTCCTATCATGCATTATCAATTTTTTCTAACCAGATTACTCAATTCTTTTTTTCGTTTAATAAAATTCACGATGCTAATGAGGAGTATGCCCATGTGTTTCTTGGTACATAAAAGAGAGTTAGTATCCCCATTCTCATCTTAGTATGCCCATGTGATTGTCGTAGCGGAAAAAATATATTTTCTTTTCTACCACGATCAAAAACATTTGCCAATACTTAGGAAGGTAACCATTTGCCAAATCAAGTCTAGAACACACAAACTAAAGGTCACTCCAAAGTCGTAACCAAAATTATGTCAAATATTTGCACAAACTTCTCTTAGGAATTTAAACAAACTCTTGCTAAAAAGGAAAAGCAAAAAACAGTGAAGCATGCTATCTCTTATGGGTTTCCCAACACATCTCTAGAGTCCAAATTCATTCCTATATGAACAGTGATGCTGTGTGATTATATTTGTGGCACCGAATTAGGAACATAGGTCTGACCAAGGAAGGTGACATTTTGTGATGATCAACAGGCAACCAAGTAAACCCAAACAGAACAACAGCTAGAACAAAAAACACCAACTTCGTTGATGAAACTTTCATCTTCGCCATCATTAGCAATCAAATAATCGAAAATGTTCAACACCCCCACTGCCTCAAATTCCAAACACAACAGATTATAAACTGGTATAACCAAAAGCAAGTGCTATAAACACTTGCGTCTTTCGAAAGCACCAAGCTTTGGAAATCCAAATTGATAACCAAGCATGCCTTCAATTTTCCAAATATTACACACCCAAACTCCCTCAAAAACTAACTCTAAAAATGTGCATTTCTACAATCCCCAGATCTCCCTACAGAATGTCCAACCAATTAGTTTTTGTAGTAAGGAAAATACAAATAACACATCATAAAACATAAAAAAAAAAACTTTGCTTAAACATATTTAAAATTGCCCAATTTCAAATAACACTTCAATTCACAACACATTTAAAATTGCATAAAAAAATTTAAAATGGTAGAAAAAATACATCCAAACTCATACTCTGTGTGTGACTGAGGAGTGGTTGTATGTGTGAATGCGTGTAGACAGTGTGAGTGTGTGTGCAGACAGTGTGAGTGTGTGTGAATGCTTGTTGTGTGCATGTGTTCTATGTTGGCTGAGAGGTTGTGTGTGTGATCGCTGGGGGTTTGGGTATGGGTGTGATTTGCGTGTGTGTGTCTCTTAGACATTTCAACAAACAGTTCATGAGCATTATGATGTGGGTCTGGGTTTTGGTCATTTCAGTGAAAAACACAAAGAGGGGAGGGGAGGGGATAAAGAGAAATACCTAGGATGGTTTTACCAACTTGCAAATTAATAGCACACCCAGATACACAAGGTAATGACTACCAAAGATCTATATATACCAAAACCCAGACCCCAATCATAATTATTCCAAATCAAACCACCAATAAGGTTTCTCTTGCGATCTGATTTTTGCGATTTATTTTTTGCGCAGAAGAGGGATGATGGGGAGAGAAGAAGAAGAGAAGAGGGATAATTGGGAGAAGAGGGTGTTGTGGCGCGGTTTCTCTAGCTCTGGCGCGGTGGCTATGGTGGCTCTGCCTCTAGCTTTGGTGATGGTGAGAGAGAGAGACCGAGTGTTTGTGTGTTTGGGGAGAAAATTAGGGGGAGGGGAAGGGGATAGGGATGGGAAAGAGAGAGGAAGGGAGGGGGGAAACGACCATGCCATGAATTTTGGAGAAGTGACCACTGTCTCGCCGCCTGCTCTCTGACAATGAAGAGATTGAGATGCCGCCTGCTCTCTGATAGTGAAGAGATTGAGATGAGAGAGAAGAAATGAGAGATAAGAGATATGGGGAAGAGCCGTTGGGAGAGAGAGGACATGAGAGAGAACATATATGGGGGAAGAGCCGATCTGTGGGGGAAGAGGACATGAGAGAGAATAGATATTGGGTTAGGTTGGGTTGGGTTGGGTTTGGTTAAGTTAGGTTGGATGTGATGGTTGGGTTGGGTTAAGTTGAATGAGATGGATTTAGGGGAAAAATATATGGACTTTTGAATTTGAATGAGATGTATTGTGAGCTTTTGGATGTTGACGCTTTTGGATGAATGAAGATCGTCTGATCGGCTTGTTGAAGCCTGTTTTATATTATAGATACTAGTTGATGCACATATGCTTTGCACTTGAATCATTATCACTTGTACTTAAATTAGTATTATTGGATCAAAGATTGAACAAAAATATCATAACTTATTACACATTAGCACCTTTCCCATATCTTGTTTGAATCAATTAAGACATTGTTCCTTCAAATTCATTATTTGGATACAAATTTGTCTCATACAATAGACGTTTGTACCCATATAAAACTAATGGATTCATTATTCTTCAAGGGTTGCACACCAATCCTTAGGTCAAAGGTTCTACAAGAGTTTAAAGATAAAAACTTGATCGGAAGGAAAATAAAATATAAAAAAATAAAAATTTGTGCGAGTCTAGAGAGCATTATGAATACCTAACATTAAACATGCAAACACACTCAGAATTCCAAAGCAACCACTACTCTAGTACCACACTGAGTTATCATAAACAGACTGACTTGCATAGTTCCACCATCAAATCCAGCTATTAGAACTTCCACTTGGAAGATTTTTTATGTCTTTGTAAATGGTAACCTAGTTGCATCATAAGCAACATCATAATGGCGTTTTGTGCATTATTGCGAGTACTCGCAAGAAATTGTAGCTAGAGAATGAACTTGGAAAATCTTCACAAGCACTCATTTTACTTTAGCCCTTGAACATTAGATACCATTTTTAGGCTAATTCACAGAATAGAGAAACAGTTAAAAATTTTACCAAAACTTAACGTTATGTGTTTAATCTACAAAAGCTATTGTGGTCAGTCCAAGCACATTTTAGGCCAAACTCTAAGATGTTAGCAAACATTTTGAAAAAAGACAAAGTTTAGTACAATGTTACTAAGATTGGATGGTTATCCATCATGTAATTACAATGTGTATCATGTGGCTAAGTAAGGAATCGTCAAACTTGGAAAGATGCTTCTTGTCTAAAAATGAATTCTCCAAAGATTTTGGGTACAATATTCTTAGAATATTACGGGACAAAAAGTTGAAAGTGATGCAGAGAATTTACCTTAGCCAATGACTTCGTAAATGAGAGTGTTATGGCTCTCTCACCCTATATACATATCCAACACAGAATGTTATGGTACGAAATATCAACTAATAAGCAAAAAATGGACTAAAGACATATATCTGAGTATTCCAATTGGTAAATTTTTATCGAATCTATTGAATCTACATACACACGTTATACAATCACAGACACCTCATTTAAGAAAATAAAATCCCAAAAACCAGGAGATGAAATACTATAACGAAAATCACAATCAACTGATGCAAAACACGCTTCTTTTTGAAGATTACAAAGGCAACATATATAGTTGTCACCCTATTATTTTCCAATAATAATAGAGTGGTCGAGTCTAATTGGACCTCTTGAGCCTAGAGTGTCCCTTGATTGGCTCGCTCTCGTGGAATGCCTGGTGGTGAAATTGTAGTCCATCAAATATGTTTATTTCATACAACAACTTATCCGAAAAATTGATCAACCGGTTTCCCATAAAGATCTGCAGGGAAAAGCATAGAGGTAGAGTAGAAGAAGAAAGAAACAAAGAGTCCTATTTAGAAGTTATGCTATTCTGCCTCTTTAGCTTTTGTACTTGGGATAACGTAATGTGTGGTGAGAAGAAAAATATAGAAACGAAACCTCACTCAACAAATAAATGTATTTCATAATGAATACTTATTCATGCACAAGATATTTTTGATGTGTAAGAGTTGTTAGAGATGTAAATTGAAGGGAATATAAAAAGTTTATTTTAATGTTGTCTTTAAAGAGTTAAAAGGGTTAAAATAGGAAAGTAAAAGTTTTTTATGTTAAGAGACTTTTAGAAATAGTATAGATATAGATATAGATAGATAGTTATAGATATAGATTTATTATAGAGTTTTATTGTAAAATTATGTAATTTATTAACAAAGAAATCGAAATTGTAATATTATTATTTGTATTATAATTTTATGATGTTACAGAATAAAAGGTTAAATATGACATATATTTGATGACATAATTTAAAGTGATAATTATATGCATATATTAATAGAATATAAATTAAACTTTAATTCTTTACATAAATATAAATATAGATATACAAAATTGTATGAAAAATATACTTACTAATAAGTAAATTCAAAAGAATTTAAAAGTCAAATATTACTGGATAGATCTGACTTCCTATCAATTGTTAACACAAAATACTACCCTCTCGATTTATTATCACCAAGTCTAACTTAGAGCTTTATTTTGTTGAGTTGAATACATTCAATTTTTAACAAATACAAATCGTAAATTTAGACATATTAAATTTAAATTTTAAAAATTTATTAAATCAAGAAAATTTTCTTCCTCTTCAATACTCTAATCCCGGCATTTTGGCGTGAGCCGCACACCTTTAACCAGGAGCATGGAAAGAAGGGCAAACTTCAATTTAACCCCTTATGGTTTGATTTTAGAACACATCACCACCCTATTGTTTAAAAATAAGCACTTTAACCCTTTTCTAAATCTGGACTAATATGCTACCGGTTACATTTTTTGTTAACATTAAGATAATAGGTTGGATGTAGAATAAAGTGTTTTCCTCCAAACTGAATGCGTGTAAAGGACTAAAATACCCTTCTAAATTTTAGACCCTTTTACCCCCAAAAAAAAATTGTAAACTTATTTACCCTTGCAATCAATCTGTTCATTACTCTCTCTTTCTCACTTTCCAATGGATCAGATGTTGGAAAGTGAATTGCCCCGTTTGATGAACAAGCTGTTGACTCTTTACGTAAAAAAATACTCCATCCTTTCTGATAAGCCCAAAAGTAATTCGGTCCGACTCAATTAATCAGGAAAAAATTGAAAAAAGGCACATCAAATTAAACTTAATTATAAAAAAATATATAGAAAAAAATATTGGATAATTAAGTTCATAATTTTAATACTTATTTGTATCTAAGTACATTATTTGAATTTTACTGATTTATTTATATTTATATATATAAATACGTATATATTATCTTTAATGCACATTGATTCATACACATTTTTTTTAGAAAGTTATTTTGTTTTTAAATTATATTTTATGCATCTTAATTTATGCGTTTTTTTTTTGGAAAGTGATTTTATTTTTAAATTAATTTAATATCCGAATAGTGTAATACTATAACAATAACAGTGTAACAATAATAGTGTAACAAGTTATTTACACAAAATATTATACTATTACATTTTGTCAAACATATAATTTCATTCAAAATAATTCATATCCGTTTTGAATTTGTTACCACATGCATAAAATTACTGAACACTGTTTTTGTTACACTGTCTTTGTTACACTATTACAATATTTAGATATTAAATTAATTTAAAAATAAAATCACTTTCCAAAAAAAACATGAATCAAGGTGCATTAAATATAATTTGAAAACAAAGTCATTTTAAAAAAAAATACGCATGAATCAAGGTGCATTAAAGATAATTCAAAATTTAGATAAGAGATTTAACAACACATGAATCAAGGTGTATTTAACAAACACACATAAATTAAGGTGCATTAAAGGTAAGATATTTTGAATTAAATGACCTTAAAATGGGCATTTATGTTTTTGTATCTCAGTTGTGTACTTTTTTTCAAAATATTTTGTTCTATGTACTTTTTGTCAAATAAATCTAATTAGGTGTACCGACTTCCAAAAAATCCATTAATCAAAAGAGGGCCACGTCACATTAAAACTCAAATCAACAAATCAAGAAAGAACCCAAGTTAAGGGGAATACAAAATTAAGGAGGAGTCCAATTGGAACAGGGGACACCCTAAGGGGGGCTACTCAAGGGCTACCCCAAAGGGGTGTCGCCCAAGGGAGGCCACCTCAAGGGTATCCTTCCTCTCCTTTGTTTCATGCTCTCTTTCTTGTGCAACCTTGTGAAGTCCTTTCTCCCTCGTGATTCTGTGACTCCAATTCAAGTCCAACACCCATCAACTCATGTTCAACCCAACTCAGGATCTTTCCCCGACAAAATAGAAGCACGAGAGAGAGAATATCGGGATACGCTCGGAGATCTAATCTTACCTTATTTGTACTTACCAAAATAGTAAAAACGCTCTCACTCACATCACTGTCTCACCATACCTATATAACGTAAGCCCTCTCCACATAAAGGGATCACCTAAAAAACTGCTACACATCTCTCTACACACATTGCTCTCTTCTCTCAAAGCATTGTAATACTCCTGGAGCATATTCTCCCGTTGATTTTATTTATCAATAAAGAACTTTGACCACCACTGTCGTTCTCGAAAGTGGAGTAAGTCATCCGAACTGAACCACTATAAATTTTGGTGTTGATTCTTTTTTTATAATTTTGTCATTGATTGCTTATTTATTGCTCGTTAATTTCACCCTTACAAATACTCGATTGCTAATTTTGCGCAATACCAATTTGTGCATCATCACTTTCCTTATATGCACCATTTTCTTCATTTTTCTCTTTCATTTTCTTTTTTTTTCCCCTCACTGGTACAAAAAATCCTAGGAAATGATTGAAAATCCCACTTTGGCAACCATTGTTTTTCTGGTGTTAATTATGTCATTCTATTTGATTTTGTCTTCTTTTTTTTATTTTACGTTGCATCCTTTCATTGAGTCCATGGTACTTACACGGAGTTACAACAACACCGCTATAGATTTATTAGCGCTGACAATTTTTTTGGTCTTTCTGAATTCTAATTTTTGTACTCTGATTTTTTTAATTTGATTTTCTGGTTTTGATTTTGAAATTAATTTTGAGTTTGATATAGTTTTTTGAATTTTATTTTGATTCTCCCTCTCTCTCTCTCTCTCTCTCTCGGAAGGAGGTTGGTTGAATTTGTTGGTGATGAGTTGAGTCGAATTTTTGGTGATGAATCAAGTTGAATTTGTTTGGTTGATGAATTGGGTTGAATTTGATATTTTTTGTTGTGAATGAATTGAGTTGATTAAGTGACTTGAAGGATTAGGTTGCACTGAATTGTTTTCCAATAGGTGTGGCAATATGCACTGGGCTAGGGTGGTGCACAGTGGGTGGTGGTGGCAGCAGTAGTGTGATTCATTGGGAGGAAAGTGGAGAAGGAGAGAGTCAAAGATATGAGTGGATATTATAGATGGTAAGGGTTTTAAGGTCTTTCTGTCATTTCAGTTAACAGTGTTAAAGGGGTTAAGTGCTTATTTATAAACGATAAGGGGGTGATTTGTTATAAGGATAAACTATAAGGGGGTAAAATAAAATTTGATCTAGAAAGCATTAATCGAAATGTAGGCCTTTCGGCAAACACATTATACAAACAGCAAAAACGAAAAATTCGCGACACGCACACACACACACACACACACAGAGCAGTCGGCGTTCTCCTGTGGAGCTGTTCAGTGAATACTCTTTTAAGTGTTAGGGCAATTCCTTCTCATCAAGGTCAGAACTCTTTTACCGTTTCTTCTACCACATTGATCATCAACCTGTGTGTGTATATATAGGTGCAAAGAAAAAACCATATATGATTGCTTTGTTGTTTAATCGCCGCACTGGCCATCCCCTCCCCGCCGGGGGGGTGGGGTGGCGCTGCTAGATGGGTATTTCTTAATGACTGGATGCCTCATCTGAAGGATTAATGGAGTTATGTGAGGCACTCTCGTTTCTTCCATTTTGCAAATAGAATATGGAACCCTAGAAGTCAGCCTACCCGTCAATGGAAAAGTGGGAGTTATTGGGACCTTAGAAAGATTCATATGCATCGGAGTCTAGCTTGAACTCTGCAATCGACGCATTGATTATTTCAGTTCAAATTTTGAAATAGTTGGACATTAGATTTTCCATTGAACTTGGGGTTAATATTGGTTTCCAGCATGTCCCTTGAGTGTGAAAATGTGGAATGACAGAAATACACAATTTCTGGGTTTACAGCACTTTTGCTTTGCCAACAATTTTAGTGCTTATATCTGTCTGCAGATGACCTCGAAACACGGTAGATAATTGGTGTTAATTTCCGTGACACATAACACAACCTTAGATCTTAAAATGTTGAGAATTACAAAATTAATGAGGAATTATGACTCTTGGGTAGGAGTATTATGGCTGCTTCTGCTCAGCTGTTGGCGCAAGCTTCCTGTGAGGCTTGTATACCTGGACAGAAAATGATTACTCCTTTATACTTTTCATCCTTTCTGCATTGTCTAACTGCAATCATCTCCCAATTTACTAGCCCACAGATTCTATGTATATCTATAATTCTATATGAAAAATTATGTATGAAGGAGATTCTTCTTTGTACAAAACTACAAATGGTACTTCGAACCTGGAATGAAATCAACTATATTTCTTTATCTTTTGAGATGTTCTGCGTCATCGGTTGCTCAAGATCTTAGGTATCTACCTGGACTCAATAAAAAAATGGATTATATAAATTATATTGCAGTACCCTTTTATCAATCCTTCTGTGTAATTATAGCATTTGAATGTAGTTCCAACCTAAAAAACAATATTGACAACCAAAAATCAAATAAAATAAATCAGGTAAACTTGCAACCAAGATGCAGTGAAGAAAACTTCAAAGCGTGTAAAAACGTTTAAATTTGGATATATTTATATGGATCTTCGAAAAGGAATTCATGAGACTGTGACATACCCAGGGAGAGAGAGAGAGAGAGAGAGAGAGAGTTATGTGTGCACCACTGTGTCTGTTTTCTAAGCATTGCTGCGTCACTGCTGTTCGAGTTCCGTCCTTTCTTGTTGGTTTGGTTCTCAGGTTTGAAATGGCACATGCTACGTGCATGACGACCATTGGGATGTTTACTGGGGTCCAAAAATAAATCTGCAGTGTCTGTTCTAGTTGTTCTTATTTCATCATTTGGGAGGTATCAATCATTAAAAATCTTTGAGACACTAAATTTTGAGTCGGGAGTCGCATGGTATCCCATGATGCACACTGGGCTATAAATTTTGTTTGGTGCTCCAAAATTCTGGGCACAGTTGTTAGTGTTCTGACTTCTGAGTTACATGACTGAGTAGAATTGGATACCCCATCAATACTTATAATTGTAATGCTTCTACTTTTCTGCAGTTGTTATATTTTATTCCTGATTATGACAAAACAGGTGTTTGCAACTGGGTACCCTGCAGTAATGCTTGTCTAGTTCGAAGGGACTTACCCAACAAATGGATGCAAGAGGACGTATACCACCAGCTTATGAAGGGCGTTCTGTACAAGCTCCAGGGATGATGCGTCATGGTACAATTCCTGCTGGCCGCCGCACTATGGAACCACTTCATCCTGAAATTTTAGAGAACAAATTGGCTGTTCAGACAGCAGAAATAGAACGACTCGCTGGGGACAATCATAAATTGGCAGCTACTCATGTAGCACTGAGGCAGGATCTTGTTGCTGCTCAACAAGAAATCCAAAGACTCAGAGCACATATGAGAAGCATTGAAACAGAAAGTGATATTCAGATTCGAGTTCTATTAGATAAGACAGCAAAAATGGAAGTAGATATCAGAGCTGCTGAGAGTGTTAAGAAGGAGCTGCAACAGGCTAACATCGAGGCAAAGAGCTTGGTAAAAGCTCGACAAGAGCTAACTGCTCAAATTCAACTGGCCACTCAGGACTTGGACCACGTCTGTACGGATATCAAAAACCTACCAGAGATGCATGCTGAGCTTGATAGCTTGAGGCAAGAACACCAGAGGTTACGGTGAGTGAAACAAACTAAATTTGTTCTTTCTCGGATGTTTCCTTATTGCTCCCATAAATCTGTGGCTTAAGTGTGAGAAAAAAGTCAGGACAGTCTTCAGAGGTTTTACTGATATTGCAAGGAAAAATAATCCAACCTAAGATTCAGTTGTCGGTTATCCAAAAATTTCCTATTCAATTTGTCTTATTTTACCTGCCATTGTTTGCAGAAAGGACTTTGTTGGTGTGCTGAAATTGCTGAATGATATATACTAATTTCCCCTGTAATTCGTTGAAAATTCTATGTTGCACCAGATTGCTAAAACATAGGATGCTATACTCGTAACCAGAAATATTGCGAATTAGGTGCTTGAGGTGCTTACTGTTTGCAATTATGGGTTCAAAATGTACAGGCCACTTTTGTAGAAGCGCATAAGTCATCCTGATGACCTTTGAGAGAAACATGATTTCTCCAGTGTACATCTGCTATTTATGCCTGACTTTCATTCATTGTGATTTGTTCTGCAATTTGTTCTTCATCAAGTAGTAGTACAATTATTTTTTTTAAAGGAGTACATTCATCTGAAAATATTTTCCATTTGGTGTTTTTTGGGGAAAAAGCACAACGTTTGAGTATGAAAAGGGTTTCAACATAGAGAAAGTTCAACAAATGCAAGTTATGGAGAAGGACCTGGTGGCCATGGCAAGAGAAGTAGAAAAGTTGCGTGCTGAGGTGTTCAATGCTGAGAAGAGGGCACATGGTAATCTTTCTTGCACTTTGCTTGAGATTTCCTCGTCTTTCAGAAAGCAAAAATGTGGCAACAAAAAGCATAGGCACGAAATTTTTCACTTCACTTGCACTAATAGTAGTTTGCTTTATATGTAGCACCGAACTTTTATGGTGGCCCCTACATGAATCCAAATCCTTTATATGCACATCCTATGCATGGTAGTGGTGCCTATGTTGACAGTTATGGAAGACCGCATACTGTGGGAGAGGGAATGATTCCATATGCAAGTGGCAATGTTGTAGCTGCTTCTAGTGGTGTTGCAAGTGCAGCTGTTTCTAATGCTGGTGGCAGTTCTGCTGGGTAAGGGGCATATGATAGAGTCGGATGTGAATGTGTGTTGGTTTCATACAAAGTCTTATCCTGCTTTGCTGGTTATGTAACATGCAGACGTCACCAGGTTTTGATTCCTTAAATCCGTAATTTGGACGCATTTTCGAACTTTTTTAAACTTTTCCTTGTAACTTCTCATAGTTTTATACAAGATTCAATGTTCAATACTCTGGTATTCTTCAAGTATCTTCTGCATGATGGGGTTTACCCTTTGGTTTGCCTTTTTGACGATAATTTTGTCTTCCGTTTTTGAGGTTGCTTTTGGTTTCTCAATATGGATGAGTGATAGTATCCGAACAAACAAAGTCGTAGGTGAATTAGTCATAGTTCCTGATCTTGAAGCAGTTGCCGGAAGAGCAAGTGTTGATTGATTGCAAAGGGGCCATGGATAATGGTGCCATAGTGTGCCATCTAAGCCTTTTGACAACGAAATTGACAAATCCGATCAGTGTTCATAATTTGGAGTAAATGGATTTGAACCGTCCACAATTTTTGACCAGCTCCATTAGTGATTTTGCACAATTATGACCATTTTTCTCATAATACTTACTGAACTCCATTTGATATAGTTTGTAGAAAGATGCAAGTGATATTGTGGATAAGGGGAAGTGCATAGAATCAACCATGGGGAGTTTTGAGACAAGTTAATAATCCCATTCTCATTTTCCGCCATCTTTTGATGCTAATTAGCTGCTTTTTATTTTCAGTTCTGCTCTCTTTGGAAGGTGTGTTTCTTTTGTTGATGTTCAACAGGAAAAACAGAAAAAGAAATGGGCAAAAGTATAATTAAAGCCAACACATGGAGGCATATACCATGGGATATGCTTGTTTAGCGCCTCCTATAACCTAATCAAAGGCATAGGGGTTAACGTGAGACACTTTGGTTGATTGCGTAGGGGCCAGCTCTTAAAAAGAATTATTTTGGAAATAAATTTTAATTAGGAATTGTGTACAATGAATTTCTTAGAGTAGTAGAAGTTTACAGAAAAATAGAGTTATATTTAAATGATAAAATTTACAAAGGACACTCAATTGTTGAAGTTCACATTGAATAGTGATTTATTTTTACTCAATATATATTTTTGGTCCTTTTTTTTTTTTTGGCATTGTAAACAACTAATGAAGCAAAAATTCAGGCCAAAAGTAGGGCCTCAAATTTGACCCAAGAAAAAAAAGTTATAATTAATTAGAGAATCAATTTTGATTTCAAGACATGTATCCCAGGGATACCATATGTTTTTTCTAAAAACATTAATATTTACATCGAAGTCAGAATTATCACCTAACTTCATTTTTTTTGTAATTGGACGGACGAAGAGAGGTCACGGGCAGTTTGTACAAGGGACTAAATTGATCCAAATGTGAACTTAGAGGATTAAATTGGTAAAATTAAAATTTTAAGGACTAAAGTTCAATTAATGTGATAAATTTAAGGGTCATTGGTGCAATTTATCCTTTTTCTTATAAGCATTCCCCTTTGTAACCTATTCACTCGCTGACCGCAAAGTTCTCATCGTCTTGTTTTCATCCATAATGACTGAGGTAAACTCGAAATCCCTGTCTTTCTCTTTCAAATTCTCAGAATCTGATAGAGATAGCAATTGTACGGGTGTTTGTTAATGTATATGCATATGTTTATGAGTATAACCTAGCTCTAAGGATGTCTTTTTCGAAGAATCGATAAAACTATCTTGTGTTTTTGGATTTGTTCTGTTTTTCCTGTTATGCTTTTATCCCTCCCGCGCCTAAGTGGTTGAAAGGGCCAAGTTTCGGCTTTCTGATTATTCTTCGCGTGCTTGCATGACCGTTGTCGGTCCTACCCCATATTGAATTTGTTTTTTTCTGATTTCTTTTTTGGGATTTTGACAAATAAACATAGGGAATTGACAAAGCTAAAACTTGAAATTGATTTGAAGAACAAATGGATATACCCAAAAAGCTTGAGGACTAGTTTGGATTGCTAGAATCAAGGGTTGGAATTGGAATATCATTTTCATTCGAGTTCATTCCTATATTTTTTTGTGCTATTGCTTGGAGGAGTTTCAGAATAATTTTGGAAATAAATTTTAATTAGGAATTTGTGTACAATGAATTTCTTAGAGTAGTAGAAGTTTACAAAAAAATAGAGTTATATTTAAATGATAAAATTTACAATGGACACTCAATTGCTGCAGTTAACATTGAATAGCGATTTATTTTCACTCAATATATATTTTTAGTCCTTTTTTTTTTTTTGGCATTGTAAACAACTAATGAAGCAAAAATTCAGGCCAAAAGTAGGGCCTCAAATTTGACCCAAGAAAAAAAAGTTACAATTAATTAGCGAATCAATTTTGATTTCAAGACATGTATCCCAGGAATATCATATTCTTTTTTCTAAAAACATTAATATTTACATCGAAGTCAGAATTGTCACCTGACTTCATTTGTTTTGTAATTGGACGGACGGAGAAAGGTCGCGGACAGTTTGTACAAGGGACTAAATTGATCCAAATGTGAACTTAGAGGATTAAATTGGTAAAATTAAAATTTTAAGGACTTAAATTCAATTAATGTGATAAATTTAAGGGTCATTGGTGTAATTTATCCTTTTTCTTATAAACATTCCCCTTTGTAACCTATTCACACGCTGACCGTGAAGCTCTCTCATCGTCTTGTTTTCATCCATAATGGCTGAGGTAAACTCGAAATTCCTGTTTTTCTCGTTCAAATTCTCAGAATCTAATAGAGATAGCAATTGTACGGGTGTTTGTTAATATATATGCATATTTTTATGAGTACCTAGCTCCAAGGATGTATTTTTCTAAGAATCGATAAAATTATTTTGTGTTTTTGGATTTGTTATGTTTTCCCTGTTATGCTTCTATCCCTCCCGCGCCTAAGTGGTTGAAAGGGCCAAGTTTCAGCTTTTTGATTATTCTTCGCGTGCTTGTGTGACTGTTGTCGGTCCTACCACATATTGAATTTGTTTTTCTCTGATTTCTTTTTTGGGATTTTGACAAATAAACATAGGGAATTGACGAAGCTAAAACTTGAAAATGATTTGAAAAACAAATGGATATACCCAAAAAGCTTGAGGACTAGTTTGGATTGCTAGAATCAAGGGTTGGAATTGGAATATCATTTTCATTCGAGTTTATTTCTATATTTTTTTGTGCTATTGCTAGGAGGAGTTTGAGAATAATTTTGGAAATAAATTTTAATTAGGAATTTGTGTACAATGAATTTCTTAGAGTAGTAGAAGTTTACAGAACAATAAAGTTATATTTAAACAATAAAATTTACAAAGGACACTCAATTGTTGCAGTTAACATTGAATAGTGATTTATTTTTACTCAATATATATTTTTAGTCCTTTTTTTTTTTGGCATTGTAAACAACTAATGAAGCAAAAATTCAGGCCAAAAGTAGGGCCTCAAATTTGACCCAAGAAAAAAAAGTTACAATTAATTACTGAATGAATTTTGATTTCAAGGAATTTATCCCAGGAATATCTTATTCTTTTTCTAAAAACATTAATATTTACATCGAAGTCAGAATTGTCACCTGACTTCATTTGTTTTGTAATTGGACGGATGGAGAGAGGTCACTGGCAATTTGTACAAGGGACTAAATTGATCCAAATGTGAATTTAGAGGATTAAATTGGTAAAATTAAAATTTTACGGACTAAAATTCAATTAATGTGATAAATTTAAAGGTCATTGGTGTAATTTATCATTTTTCTTATAAACATTCCCCTTTGTAACCTATTCACTCGCTGACCGCGAAGCTCTCATCGTCTTGTTTTCATCCATAATGGCTAAGGTAAACTCGAAATTCCTGTCTTTCTCGTTCAAATTCTCAGAATCTAATAGAAATAGCAATTGTACGGGTGTTTGTTAATGTGCATGCATATGTTTATGAGTCTAACCTAGCTCCAAGGATGTCTTTTTTAAAGAATCGATAAATTATCTTGTGTTTTTGGATTTGTTCTGTTTTTCCTGTTATGCTTCTATCGCTCCCGCGCCTAAGTGGTTGAAAGGGCCAAGTTTCGGCTTTCTGATTATTCTTCGCGTGCTTGCATGACCGTTGTCGGTCCTACCCCATATTGAATTTGTTTTTCTCTGATTTCTTTTTTGGGATTTTGACAAATAAACATAGGGAATTGACGAAGTTAAAACTTGAAAATGATTTGAAGAACAAATGGAAATACCCAAAAAACTTGAGGACTAGTTTGGATTGCTAGAATCAAGGGTTGGAATTGGAATATCATTTTCATTCGGGTTCATTCCTATATTTTTTTGTGCTATTGCTAGGAGGAGTTTGAGAATTATTTTGGAAATAAATTTTAATTAGGAATTTGTGTACAATGAATTTTTTAGAGTAGTAGAAGTTTACTAAACAATAAAGTTATATTTAAACGATAAAATTTACAAAGGACACTCAATTGTTGCAGTTAACATTGAATAGTGATTTATTTTTACTCAATATATATTTTTAGTCCTTTTTTTTTTTGGCATTGTAAACAACTAATGAAGCAAAAATTCAGGCCAAAAGTAGGGCCTTAAATTTGACCCAAGAAAAAAAAGTTACAATTAATTAGCGAATCAATTTTGATTTCAAGACATGTATCCCAGGAATATCATATGCTTTTTCTAAAAACATTAATATTTACATCGAAGTCAGAATTGTCACCTGACTTCATTTGTTTTGTAATTGGACGGACGGAGAGAGGTCACAGGCAGTTTGTACAAAGGACTAAATTGATCCAAATGTGAATTTAGAGGATTAAATTGGTAAAATTAAAATTTTACGGACTAAAATTCAATTAATGTGATAAATTTAAGGGTCATTGGTGTAATTTATCCTTTTTCTTATAAACATTCCCCTTTGTAACCTATTCACTCGCTGACCGCGAAGTTCTCATCATCTTGTTTTCATCCGTAATGGCTGAGGTAAACTTGAAATTCCTGTCTTTCTCGTTCAAATTCTCAGAATCTAATAGAGATAGCAATTGTGCGGCTGTTTGTTAATGTATATGCATATGTTTATGAGTATAACCAAGCTCCAAGGATGTCTTTTTCTAAGAATCGATAAAACTATCTTGTATTTTTGGATTTGTTCTGTTTTCCCTGTTATGCTTCTATCCCTCCCGCGCCTAAGTGGTTGAAAGGGCCAAGTTTCGGCTTTCTGATTATTCTTCGCGT